CAGAGCGAAGGGTCGGTCCCCGACAAGGAGGTGCAACCTTGAGCCAGAGTTTTGATTGGTAAAAAAAGAATAGATATGGCAGAGAGCTGGGGAGAGGTAACAGGTATAGAAGAAAGGGGAGAGAGGGAAGGACTGGCAGGCTTTGACTTCTCAGCTCTCTTTAGCTTTTAATCCATACTAGTGTCCGAGTGTATGTGGAGGGAGGGAGGGAGGACATGAAGAGGAAGGTGAAAGTAGAGGCACATTCACCCTGTATCCTTTGCATAGGGTGTAAACAGAGGTCATGATGCAGCCAAGGAAATGTCATACGTCCAGCAGTGTGAGGCCAATTCCATAAATGTGCATTTTTAATAGTGAGAACTTGGAAAGATTGGAATGAAAACACTGAGCGTGGACATAATCATTGCTCCTTCGTCCACCTCCACCTGTGTGAAATCAAGAGCTGAGGGTTTTTTGGGACACTCGTGAAAAAAGTACCACTTTCAACTCACGAAATCCTCAAAATTGAATGTGCCTGAAGCTGATAAATTACCAAATAAATGAAGGAGCAAACTTATGCAGGTGAGAAAAAATAAAAAACTTTACAGTGTTGATAATTGAATCATAGAATTGCTTGTAATTACTTGGGCCATGAAGTGGGTGCAGTGATTAAGATGCCTGCGTATGTTGCCTCATTTAACCTTTCTGCTGCATCCCTCTGAGACCTTCCCCTGTTCTTTGTCCTGTTCCCCTGCAGTCGCTCAAGATGCTAACTGAAGCTAACAATTGTTGTTCTGCAAATTACAGCCTGGAATATAACAACAAAACCTGGAGAATATTGACTAACAATAGATTTTCTTATGTCAAGCCATCCTGAATATGAAAATCTCTACTCGCGTTCTCTGAGGCTTCAGGACCTGACGTCTTTAATGTGCACTTTACAGCCTCTGAGGCTCCGTTCAGAGGCTTCAAGCTCTGGATGGGATAATATTCACAGAGTAAAGGTCAATATGAGCACCTTACATATGGGGGGCAATGCTAATAAAGGCACAAGAACTATCTGACCTGGAGCCAAAGGCTGAAAATATCATGTGGTAAGCTACTGAAAGTCTGCTGTGGCTCTTTGAGCTCACAACACACTGCAGTACTACAGCTGGATTTTAAGACTGTGGGGGTGGGAAGGGAAACTCCCCGTTTATTAAAATAAAAAATATTAAAAAAGATGCTCACAGATGACACAGGAAACACATCGGAACACCCGGATTCTCTGTTTGCAGCTTAGATCTACGTATACAAAGGGGATCTACCGCATATGAAAGTGTGAAGTTGCGTTTGTTCTCGTCTGTTCTGTCTTGCACATTCATAGCTGCCCCGTTGATGTAATCAGATTAGTCAGGTGAGGCTGTGCTAAACTGATCCGCTGCCTGCAAGCCTCTTAGTGACATGGCTAACGGCACTGACAGAGATCACTCTGAAGCAAGGTCAGACACACGGCCCGGCAACGGTCGAGCAAAGAACCAGCTTAGCCAAGAACAGAGGAAGCAACGCAGCACAGTGCTGGGAGGGGGAGAGCAGCACTTCTGACCTGTCATTTGTTCATGACTGCTTTCATTTGGGGCTGACTCCATGTTATTAATGCAGAACATAGTGGAATGAGATTGATTTGACCTTGGGCAAAAAAATGATTAGGGACTTGTGTAAAGATTTTTAAAAAATCTAAATCAATCCAAATGCTTTCAATTTACGTTTTATTGTCACACGTCTGTCTTTCGTGGACAGTTTCAATGCTCAGTTACATGATTTGCATGGCTCCCTTGTGATTCTGTGATTTATAAGTACACCTCTCTCTTGGAATTCTTTTCTTTCTCCGGTGAAGCTTTTGTCAAAGTTGATTAATCAAAAGCTGAAGAAAAACCAGTGGGAGGAGTGATAGAGCAGCTTAGACATTTGCCTCCTGGATGACTCCACTAAATTGATCAGGTGAATAAATTTGGCCACTGCCCACAGTGACATCACTCGGTCTGTGAAGGGTCAGGGAATCCTCCCAGAAAGCCGCTCAGATGCTTATTGAAAATGTGTGTTGGGTAATAGAGGAAACCTCTTGTTTAACATAGCCTCTAGCCGCAGAAGTGGGTTAGTTACCTGAGAGATGTGACTGCACTGTGCTGTCAAACTCTAACAAAACATACTAAAGAAAGACATCAAAACAAACACTGACTGGGATTTTAATAGCATTATATAAAGTATGTCAGTATCAGAGACTTAAATAAATGAATAAAGTATCACAGATAAAGGTCCATCACTGTATCACCACCACGTTGACCTCACACTGCTGTAGGTTTGTCCCAGTTAACTTCCCTTCTGTGTCCTCGTCCCTCCACCACACACTCCATATATATATTTTATATTTTTACACATATACATATACAAGTCAGATCCAGCTGTGACCCGGCGGGCTCCTACAACTGCCTCTGGTGGTTTGTCAAATAAACAAAACTGGGATAGAAGCTTTATATACGGTCTATGGATAGAAGCCAGTTCACTGAAGATGCAAATTAGTAATTTAATTAGTCTCTATGAAACATATGGACCTGACTGACACTCAAATATTCCAAGAAGTAGCTACAAACATGGAAATTGCCCCAGTGACAGAGAATTATCTTCCAAGAAACGACCCAGTTAGCCAGATATAAATAAAGCCCAAAAACACAACGATGGAAATTTGACACACAAGTCCAGCCTAATACTCTTTGGGTTGACTTAAACCATTGATTGTCAGTATAGACAAATACAATCAGCCAGTCTCAGGGGTCTCATTTTCCTGATCTGTCTACCCTGTTGCTCTTGGTGAGTAAAGTGATTCCATTTGATGCTGAATTCATAATATTCATAATAATAATATTGCTGTTAGATTTATGAGTAAACAGCTGTGATACTAACATCTGCAATATTGCAATGGAAAAGTAACATTTGGCCCCTTTGTCCAATAAAATGTGCATTGATTAAAGAAATGCAAGTCAGGCTAATAACCCTTTTGCCCTGTCAGGGATTAAGTACTGGAAACAATGCCCCTCTGTCACTGCTGTTTCACATTTAAGATAATGAGTTATCAATAACAAACGTGATTATTCTTATGTTAATGTTATACTTGTCAATTAGGAACAAGTATTAGACCACAAAGCACAAACAAGGCTTATAAATGGTATAATCCAAACTCTAACAGGAGAATTATCTGCACCATGTTTATGGACTTTGCTCATGCAGAGCTATAAACACATCTGCTGGACTCGTCTCGCTGTTATTTCATCCATTCAGTCAGGTAAAGAAAATGAAAGCCTTAAAGTTAACTTACTTTGAATTAGATTTTTTTTTAAACTTAAACAGTGAACTAGAATGAGTGGAAGTCTTATCAGAAGAATACAATCACATTTTTATCTTTTTGATGATACACAGCTTTTTCTCATCACTTGGATGAAGTGGTTGAATATGTCTGTGCAGATGTAATATTTATACTATCACGATTATTATCCCTCAGACATTTAATCTGGAGAATGTTCAGGTTTATCGACCCACAGACGTTGTATGGGACTGTTTCTGTTGATATTAAAACATGACAGATTGTAACTGCAGCAGAGCCTAATCAGAAATACTGTCATGTTTGCAGCTACGTTACTGTTTTTATCTTCTTTGCAGCTCCTTTATAAGTCAAAGCTTTGTTTTGAGGTCTGATGATTAGATGGAAGTGTCACCAGCGTAATGAGGACAGGGCTTTTTACTGGATCAGCCTGTGGAAACGTCTTCACAGTGATGTAATCAGGGTTATGTCAGATTGGGCTTTGACACAACAAATGTGTAAGAAAGTCTGTGTTATGAATTGTTGCCATGGAGTTTGAAATATATGGGAATTTATACGGTTGGGGAGGTTTACTGAATTATGGGATTTGTAGTATCCAGTGTTTTTGGTGTTTGACCTATAGGGACCAACTCTTAGGGTATCTCAGCCTCTCCTTTTTAATATTTCTTAATTTGTTGTCTGAACTATGGAATTGCTAGAAGACCCCTTTATGGGAAAATGAGTTATTTTCTGATTATGTTTATCCAAACACATGCAGGGATATTGGAGCTCATACTCCTAATAGACATGACTTATTGGGTTGTTTCTTGAATGCAAAATATGTTATTAAATATCATTATTATTAGAGTTTTTGGTTGAGATTTTCTTTGTAATATCCTTCATTTTGTTGTCATCTTTATTCTTGCATATTATTCCAACTTGATGTCTTCCATTGATTTAAAAATGTTTTCCTTATGATGGAATGCAACCAGAGAACCATGTGGTAGCGAACTGTTAGACTTGTCTCGGGTGCCATCAATATTACCCCTCCTCTCTTTCTATTTGTTGACCTATTTGTTGATTATCTGTGCATATGTGTGTGAATACAGCTGGATTGTGAGAGTCAGTGCATGGATTCAAACCTTCACTGTTCATTGTATAAATATTAATTGCAGATTGAGCAATTTTGATTAATCGTACCATTAATATTGACAATCATATTTGATGATTATGAGTGATTAAACAATTAAAAAATCTGCTCCTTCTGTGTACAACAGTCTGTTCATCCACAAATATACCATTACACAAGTTCTTATTGATCAGTTGGCGTGTTAACCTATAAGGCTTCAAAACAAAATGCATAAAGACCAAAGTCTGATGATGTTCAGTTTCATTTCCAGATGTGGTAGCAGCACTTGTGTCAGTTGAAGTGGTTGTTATTGCCAAACCGTTTGACAGGAAGACATGTTCAATCATTTAATGCTAATGTATTTCCTACATTTCATCCTGCAGGGAATTGAAAAAGTTCAGAAGCATTGTGTGTTTGCAGGGTTGTTTTTTCTGGTTTACCAGCTTCAGCCTCATGACACACAGTGAGGGGTGGAGCAGCATGGGAGGAGCCCTATGTGATACAGTACATAAAAAACGTTGTCATTTCCTTTTATATAGAATTAGGATTAACCTCCTTTACAAGGGTTGAAGTGCTACAAGGGAACTGTCAAGATGTCATTCAGTGAAGTACTGACCATCATTGGAGGACTCACGGTTGTTTTCCAACTGCTGAGCATGACCTGGAGATGTTGGCGTGGGCTCAGACAGTTTGTTCTGGCAGAGGTTTGGCACATGGATTTAAGGACAAATGGACAATGGGCAGGTAAAGTCACATAAAATATACTTCATGACAGGTTGCATTAATAGCAAAACAAACAATTTACAGTGTCTATTATTGTATGTGTGAGAAAAAGCTGCCAGTGCCACATGTTGACAGTGTAGTTCATATGAATGTCTGTGGTGGAAAATAATTTAATCAAAAGTTAACAAACAAAAGGTGGCAGGAAACAGTGTGGGAATATTGACATTCTCTTTCAACACCCATCTGCAGCAGCACACAGCAGGCTTCCCCTCTGTAGGGCTTGCTTGATAAAGGATGTGATAAGCTGCTCACATTCTTCCTTGATGGGACTTATGCTTCTCACTGGCTGCAAACATTCAAAACCTTTGCACTTTGAGTCAGTTTTCCATTTTCAGTTCAAAGTTTCCCTGTAAAAGAAAAAAAACACTTATCAAGCAGCAGCAGTGTTCCCTGTAAACGTTGAATCTGCACTGCAGAATAACAACCAATAACTAACATGCACGAACGTTACTTCAGCCGTGACTTAATGAATTCTATGGCAAACTATATGTCCAGATGGTAACTTTGACATTAAAATTTGTTACTTGACTAGAAGGTAAATATCTATCAAATTCAACCTAGCTGCTCAAATCCATTCATTGTAATATGCACATATTCAGTGATGCAAACAACCTGGAAACAAAACTGATACAGTTTTTATTGATTCATGTATTAAATAAAGTGGCAACTCACCAAAACAAATGTGGACATGGCTGCAGAAAAGAACGGATCCCAGCTTCACATTTGCAGCTTAGCTCCTCTCAGAATGCAGTGAATGCTGTATGACACTAGTTACTCTGCAGTTACAGTAAGTGTTGTATTTTAGTAATACATTATTGCTCTGTTAAAAAAAACTCATTAATACTAAATTCAGAGATTTTCTTTTGCTTTAGCAGCAAAGATCCATTTTTTAAAAATCTTTTCACTTGGATTGATGAGCGACTCAGTTTATAATCTCTGTCTCATTTTAACGTTTTGAAAAGAACAGCAGTGTTTCAGGAATAAAGACAGATTTTCAGATTGGGTGAATCTGAGAAATGCCTCTCTGCAGAAGAGTTTGAGAAATGAGTGTCAGTTTTATTTATGTTGTAACAATCCTAAAATGATACATTCCTGTGCTTCCTTCTCTCTGCAGTTGTCACCGGTGCTACATCTGGCATTGGCAAAGCTTACGCCTGTGAGGTGAGTCTGCAGCTTCATTCTCCAACCATTTCTTAACATTTGTATGGGAAGGGTGCCTATTTAAAGTTTAAAGGAGAGGAAAGCTGTCATAGAAGGAGTGTCAGAGTTTGGGTTGTTGATCAAAGGAGCAATCAAACCTGTCGGTCTGCATGTCTCCTTCTAGCTGGCACATAGAGGCCTGGATGTCGTCCTGGTGAGCAGATCTGACGATAAGCTGCGAATAGTTGCCAAAGAAATAGGTGAGTCAGGTACGAACAGCACTGCATGTCCTACTGATGTTATCATGAAAACATGTTTGACTCTTTTATCACCTTCAGAGCATCAGTATGGGCGAAAGACTCGCACAATCAGAGCAGACTTCACAGATGGCCACAGCATCTACCCTGCCATCGCTAAGGGACTGCAAGGCCTGGAGATTGGAGTCTTGGGTAAAAGAAAAAAAAGATTCAAGAGCAGAGGACAAACCACAGGATGTTATTGCCTCACATTGATATATATTTATTGATATAAATACATTTATGTTACACATGCAGTACTGAGAGTTCAATGAGATTATCAAATATGAATATGAGAATAGCAAATGGAGGCTCCTTCAGAAGGAACAACTATGACTTCACGATCATGGGGTTATTTCTGGGCCGGGTGCAGTGCCAGAAGATGCTGTTCTTACCTCTGTACTAAGCCAGGCTACCTGTTTCCAGTCTTTATGCTAAGCTAAGCTACCGGGCTGATAAACCGAAGAGCTTCATATTTATGGTGCACACCTGAGAGTGCTGCCAAAGTTCCTTTGGCTGGTTAGATTACGCAAAAACCACAGGACGGATTATCAGGGAAATCCATTCTGTTGTTTCATGCATTGTTGCTCACAAAGACAGAGTGGTAATATTATTCAGATTCACTAATAGTTCACTAACTCAAGGTTAAGAAAGGATCAGGATCTCCTAAATTTGAATGTGGCTTCATAAGGAGACTGTTTGGTCATTCTAGTACTGTATGATTAATTTCTTCACATTTAAAGACCAATTAAATTTGTTCATTTAAAACAAATACTTATTAACGAAGGTTCCTTCTTTTTTCTTTGTAACCCAAAGTCAACAATGTAGGAATGGTCTATTCTGATAATTTTGCCTGTTTCCTGGATATTCCTGATCCTGAGCGGGTAAGTTTGTTGTTATAAATGCAAATCTCCTGAACAAAATGTACTGCGTGTTTTATTTTGACTCACTCAGATCGTGAGGAATGTCATGTTGGCCTGATTCACATAGTTTTCCATGTTCTTTTATTTCAAACAGAAAATCACTGAGGTTATCAACTGTAACATGCTGTCTGTCCCTCAGGTAAGACAAACAGTAAATGAGTGTAGTCGCCCACTAGAGCTGTAAAAAAAGATGCTAATTTATATTATTTGATCTCAGATGACCAGACTGGTACTTCCAGGCATGATCACAAGGTATTGTCTTAAATATTCACACTATCACAGTGGGTCTGACATGATGAGAGAATAGAATAAGTAATTGGATGTTTGTCTTTCTCTCTTATGCAGAAAGAAAGGGCTGATCATCAATATTTCCTCTGAGGTCGGTGTACGTCCGCAGCCTCTCCTGTCGCTTTACTCCGCCACCAAGGTAGCTTCTCCTCCACATTCATTCAAACACACCCTGATCAGATCCCAAATTCACTCATTAGCACACAGCTTCATAACACGCTCTAAAATGCTCTGTTGGTTTGTAACAGGGATTTTTCTCTTATTCCAGATTTTTGTAACGTATTTCTCTCAGTGTCTGCACGCTGAGTACAAGTCAAAGGGAATTACTGTGCAGGTAAAGTATGCAACACAAGCTGAGTCCACAAACTCTTGTTCAGACTGAAGGTCAAATATGATATAAGCCCTTTTATGCAGTATCAGCACAGCACCCCCCTATATGATTTATACTGTTCGAAAGTTCATTAACTTTGAAGCATGACCTGATGTTGAACAACACATTTGTAGGATTGATTCTACCCACTGTTAGAATATTAAAACTTGTGCAATCATGGTGTACTGGAATACATACAGGTAGCTGCAAATGAAAAAAACTAGAATGGCCTGTATGTGCCTATATGATTTATTTTCATCAAGATCCATGAATTATTCTCTGGGGAAATGGTTAAAATGTTGAAAAGCACACTGTGTTATAATGGTAAAGATATGAAAATAAAATTCTTGGATCCTCCCCTGATCCAGATCAGCACCAAAATGACACAGGTTGTTTCCTGACCCGTACACAATCCATTCAGTTATTGATGTAATCTCTCCCAAACTAACAAACAAACATACAGTAGGACAGAGGTAATAATATTCAGATTCACAAGCGGTTCTCTAGGTCGCTCAAGGTTAAGAAATGTACAAAGATTCACCATCTCGTCATGTTGATTTAAAACGAGAATTTACTTGCAAAAATTCTCTAGTACCAGAATAGATCAAAGAAAGAATCATGCAGATACTTAAATATTGTTCTACCAGTGACACTTCATGCTTTTTTATAGTAAGTGAGACTCAATAATACACATGGTGGCTTGATAAGACTGGGATTTGGATTACTTCACCTTCCCTTGCTATTTCTCTGAGGACGTCTTTCATTTTACATTTGAAAAAGAAACTCATTAGTGCTCTCTGCTGGACAAACCATGTGATAGACAATGTTACTGAGGCCTCACATGTCAAACATGTCTGACATTTCTCTCCTGAACTTTCTGTGGCCAAAATCAGCTCAGCTCCAGTCTTAATGGTGTTGTGTAGTTTTAAAATACTAGAAATGCCACAGTTGGGAGAGAGAGGTAATTATTTCACTTTGCATTTTAAAGACATGGTGTGGCTGTTGACTCAACCATCAGGTTTAGTTCTTGTTGGAAAATTTGATTTCCTGGAGGTGCTGTGTTTGCAGAGATCCCCCAACAGAATAATGTATTTGAACAGAGACATTTAAGCTTTGGCCCCTGTGGCTCCCCCTGACTCAATAAATCTTTTTTTTAAATTTGCTGTATTTGAAGCTTTTCACTGTGCTTTGGATATTTCTGCACTGGACTAAATGTTTTTCAGTCTCATTGGTGTTTTTGATCAAATGTTTCGTTGTTTCAAGGGAAGTTTCATCCATGTAACTACAATGAATGTTTCCCCAGTGTGTGGCCCCCCTGATGGTGTCCACCAACATGACCCACAACATCGAAGTCAACTGCTTTGTGAAAAGTGCTTCAGAGTTCGCAAATGAAGCTTTAAACACCGTGGGTCACTCCAGCTACACCAGCGGATGTCTGTCCCACGCACTGCAGGTCAGAGGGATGAGCAACTTGTGATCACTTACAAATTGTCAGCTGCTGCAGTACCTTAACTTCTCACACCCTCTTTCCTCTCATCCGACAGAACGCTGCTCTCACAGTTCTCCTGCCAGACTGGTTGCGTATGTCACAATTCCTCATCAGGAAACTTCAATGCTTAGTAGAGCTGAGTCACTGTAAAAGAAGAGTGTGTGAGGAAGAGGAGAAACTCAGGGAAAAGGAAGAGTAATCATCTGCACAGAAGCTGAAGTTCACTGAATGATTATTGATATGAATACTTACAGTATATATTACTGGAGGTCAAATACCTAAATTGTGTATAATATCATAGGATGGCAAATACTAATATATTTTTTTACATTATTGTATGCTTTATTTTTGCATTAACGTTTCAATTATCTGTACATCATATTTTATCTATCCATGTTCAACAGCCTTAATCCACTGTATTTTAATTATCATTTCTCTGTTACTGTATATATTATTAAACTTGACAAATACACACACACAATTTGTTTGTATCGCAGTTAAGCAATGTTTTAAGCATATAATCTGGAATAACTTTACAGTTACAAAGATAGTATCACGCAGTACATTTGGCATACGTTTACTCTACAGGATCATTAGTAACTAAATCCATTAGTAAACAAGTGACGGTCCTTTAAGGTTTTCTTGTCAATGACTGACGTCTCAATGTTCACAACTTGAGATGGAATTTGTGAAAATGGCAAAACCAAGATGCTTTTCAGCACCTTTCCTGTTTCCTGCATCGTTCAATGTCCAAGGTCCAAAATCCATGCAGTGTTGAACACTATGACACAAAAACATGGGAAAAGTGCAGTAACATTTCATTCTGTATATATGTTATAAGTGAGGAATGTGAGAACTTTTAATCTCCACTTGATCTAAATTGTCCTTAGTCATGAATGATGGTCCTATTTAATATTTTAGTAGCTTCAACGTAACCATCAGTGTGACCCTTTTGGTGTATATTTGCATTGTGAAGCACAAATTCCAATATTACTTAAGTTAGCACATAAAATAGCAACATTCATCGTCATTATGAATTCAAATGTACACAACAGGTCCCTTCGTGAAGACGAGTGAAGCACGTTCAGCAGCAGAAGAAGCGTCTTTGCATATGTGCACAGAGAAGAAACATCAGAATGCAGTTCAACACAAAAACAAAAAGCCACTTGACGACTTGGCAGGAATGTTAGAATAAAGGGGAGAAAAAAATCAATAAAAGAACAATTACTAAGAATTAATAAGACAATTATTTTAAAGCTGAATCACATAGATTTAATGGTCCAGTGTGTAAGATTTAGGTGAAAGGGATCTATTGTCAGAAATTTAATGTGGAATAATACTCATGATGTTTTCACTAGTTTATTTCATTTAAATTGTATGAATTGTAGTTTTCTTTTCCCCAGAAAAGGCCCTTACTTTAAAGGAAATACTTTATATTTAAATACTTTATATTTACTTGAGGGGGTCCTCTCTACGGAGGCCACCATGTTTTTTACATTAGTCCAGACTGGACAAACTAAACACCTTTTGAGTTTTTTTATGACAACTGAAGCTACCACAGGTTCTTTATCATGTTTGGAAGGGGAGGGTGAAGTGAGGGGTATTTCAACACTAGATATCACAAAAATCTACACACTGAACCTTTAAATGGTAAACTACAAAACACAACTTATTTAGAATTTCATCCCTGAAATTACATATAGACCTTTCTATATTCAGTCTCTGAGAAAACCTGTAACGCTCAAAACAAAGTGTGTTTTTGTTCTCAAGAGCCTTTGACATATTTATCTACTGTATCTGAGAAGACAGGCCCAAAGCTAATGTAACAAGGTTATATTATATGAAAAAGAAGAAGCAAAAGTGTCAATTTCTTGGCGCAAGCCAGTTCAAGTATGTGAAAAATAGGACATTTTCCTAGAACGTGACGAATAAACCTGACTGCACGTGCTCAGAGATCAGTGTATGTGACCGGGGTGATACCGTGAATCAGGAGCGTTGGCCCTAAACCATTGGATACTGCCTCCAGCTGAGCCACATACTGCTGTGACTGGCTGTGATGAGCAGGAGGTCGAGGTAAATACAGGAAGCGAACAGCTGCCTGCGAGCTGTGCTCCATTATCATACAGTTCACTGCCGACAGGAAGCCCTCGGACAGAGATTGCATCTGCTCTGTGGAACACTCTATGTCTGGCTGAGTGTGGTGCTGCACCACAGAGTCCCACGGCACGATCTTGATGGACGCCCTGATCCGCAGCTTCCTCAGCAGCTCTCGAAACGTCTCTTCGTTCACCACCCAGCCCTGGTCGCTGGACTCCGTCTCTACGTTCAGGAAGATTCTCATCCTCGCGTGGCGCCACTTGCTGGACATGTTGAGCACGCAGGCCATCTGCAGCAGAAAGAGGCTGCACACGTCCTCGTAATCTCGGCTGCCGGGCTGGAGCAGGTTGAGAGGCCACACGTCTATTGTCCGCTCTGATCCGTCTACCTTGCTATCTTTCCCTTCTCCTTCTAACTGGAAGAAATAGCGGCCGAGACACACGTTCTTGTTCATTTTAATGGCATCAGAAATGATCCCAACGTACTCTTCGGGTGACAGCCAGCGTGGGCTCTCATCGTGTCGGACTGGGGGGAAATGAGCCTGCAGTGAAGGCAGGTCAACGCCAAAATTATATTCTCCGTCCTTACTTTGTCCTACTGATGAGTCATAGAAAGCAGAATCTTGTAGAAAGAAGTCCTCGGGAGTGCAGCCGTCATAGAAACCCAAAATCAGCATGTTGGGCTTCATGCCACCTTGTTTGGAGAAACAGATGAGCAGAGTGCACAGGAGTCACAGAGTGCAGGTTAATAAATGATTGCGTGCATGATGGGAGTTAGTCGGAGCTTACCTAAACCTGTGATGCGCAGTAGATGCTGTGTTCCCTGTCTGACAGAGGGAGACAGCGTCAGATCTACAAACGCCTTCACCCCGAGTTTATCAACGAGGCTCAACCAGAAGTTATACTGCTGCTGGACCGGATCTGATGGCAGCGAGTCTACAACAGAGACAAGCCAGGAGTAAACATACTGCATGGGTTTGAATAATACAAATAACAGTTAAGCCATGACATGAACTAATACAGCACTCAATAGAGTGAATACCGCAACAGTCCTCTTGAATTCAATCAAGCTGAACCAGAGTTCTTCCCTGACCCATACTGCATCCTTCCACCTAGTTGTTTGGAAATCCATTCAGTAGTAATATTGCTTACAAACAGATAGGCATGAAAACATAACCTCCTTGGCAGATGTAACAACTTCACACAGTTCAGTGTCAGAAAATATGCAAGTAAATGATATTACATCTAGACGTCGCAGTGTCCTCTAATGGACACCAGAGGGCAGAGAGGCAATGTGTGAGTTGGTGCACCAGTGATGGAACATGTCGGACAGTTCCTCCATGAATCCTTGAGGTGCATCACTTTAAAAAACTGAATATCTTTCTCACACTTTGGTAAAGATATGTGTCATTTTTAAGAGAATGCAAGGAGCTAGAGATTAGACTGATTTCAGAAAAGGCAGCCTGAGACACTGTGGTCTGATGCCACTGCGGTGCAGAGAGAAAATACTCATTAATAATGCAGGAGAAGCAGCAGGTGGAAAGTGAAAGCCCACGACTTGGCTTTCCATGATGGAGCCTCTGTGGACTTCGGGTCGGCCAATCAGAGCAGGTATGTGACACGCTTTTACATTTGCTGCTCATTTTGATCATCTGCTCTCAGACTGAACGATAAAAATAAACACACATGGTGCCAGGCTGATTCCATCCAGCAGTGACAGGCTTCCACACGCAGGAGACGGCCAAAAGAGGAGTTCAGTTTAAAAAGCAACCGTTTCATTCGGGCGAAGAAGCGAAAGAAAACAATGACAGTGATCTCATTTTGTCTGCGGTAATTAAAAGAATAAAAACAAGCTGGTTGAACAAGTGGGGAAGGGAAACAGCGAGAAAGCGATTTTGAGATAAAAATAATTTAATACTGTCGGCTGCAGATGGCCAGCATTGACCATCCACACAGCAATTACCCAGATCCCCCAGCTGCACGTGGCCCAGAACGTACAGCCCTCCCTTCTTCAGCTGGTTAACGAACAGGATGAGCTGACAAGAAGAGCGAGGGTTGGCCACCATCAGCAGCACCTGCGGCCGCCAGAACTTCACGTGGTCTTTCCTCACGTCCAGCATCAACAGATACTTGCGCACCTGAACAAGAGAAAAACAGCACCGTGGATGAGCTGTAACACATCTGATGAGTGCATGTGTGTTTGTGCATGTGCGTGTGTGTACCTGATGGAAAATGAGAGCCTGGCTGATATAGCCCCAGCTGCTGGTGGGCGACCTGTAGTGGAGGAAGAGGAGCAGCAGGAGCAGGAGGACGATGCTGCCCGAGGAGTACACAGGGTTAATGACGAACATCATGACTAAACAGCTCAGGATTCCCAGCAGGCAGGTGTGCCACGAGAAGAGCTGGAAGGTCGGTCTGCCAAACACACAGAGACAAAAAAAACTGAGGCCGCTGAACATGTGAAAAGCAGAAGTGGAGGAGAGCATTAAAAATGACAAACTGTCCCAGAATCCAGGTGATCTGTGTGACGTTGTGAACTGGTGCTAATATTTCTGGCTTTCTGATGTTGCTTTTACACCTGTACTCACTAAGAAAAGAGCCATTGGCTATCTTACATTTTTAGCTCATCTACTATAACTCTCACTTAAAGTGTAACTTCACCTCAACCTCTGAGCATCGGCCTTAGAAGTTCCAAGGCCATTTTAAACTAGGTGACCTTACAAGCAACTTTCAACAAATTGATTTTTGTTTAATACATTAAGCAGGAAACAGATATTAAAACCATTTATGTACTTAATCACATTGCAGAATCCCTTTTATTTCATTTCTTTCACCCTTTAGAATGACTGATCTTTTATTACCTGAAATTTGGTGCAGACGCCCACTCCAGAGCCAAACAGGCCAGGTCAACTGCAGCGAAGGCAAGCAAGTAGAAAACAGTCACCAAACTTGCCACAGCATTGAGCTCACCTGCAAACACCACACACTGACACACAAACACAGACCACCGGTTAGGACACCAAGGTGTTGTTCTGAAAGCAGACGACAGCAAAACCTCTGCTCACCTGGGCCAGGCCCCACGTGTACAGCACTGCCACCCATGGATTCCCTGATCTCGATGTGACGGTGGCTGGGGCTAATGGAAGACCTGTGTGGAGAACAGAAGTCTCTTAGAAAACGAGTCCATACGCAACAAAGGCACTGGTATGGTGGGTAAACGATTCATGCCTTACCGAAGAGGTGATCCAGGGCGAGAGCGTGGAGGATACGAGATGCACCGATCATAGAGCACATTGCAGCCGACAGAGAGGCGCAGTAGATCCCGATAGTAACAAGCGGTGACCAGAGGTTAATGCGTTGGAAGAACCCATAATCCTGAATTAACAGGGTCCTAAAGAAAAATGAGAATTACAACAATTCATTGTGTTTTTAAATATCTTTTTACACATTATTAGACAATATTAACACTAATAGGAGTTATTTCCGACCTGTCACAGGTGGCGCTGACCAGGATGAAGAGGAGGACGTAGATGGTGAACGTGTAAAAAACAGCAATGATGGTGCCTTTAGGGATGGAAACACTCGGAGTCTTTAGCTCCCCTGCAGAAACATTTGGACAAAGGCATTTGCTGAATCTGGTGACCCTTTCAGTAAACACTAATCTCTTTCTTGATATCATCTTGTATAATGTATTGAATTCAAAGGTAAAAGCAGTAACGCCATAAAATACTCCAAGTCTTGCATTCAAAATTTGTTAAAGCTAGGGTTGGTAATATATTTCTGTACCACTTTTTATCTTATTTGTTGAAATTCTCTTCACGTCCCAATAGCCGGGGAAACATAAATGAACCGCTGAAGCAGAGATGATAGCCTCAGGTTAGCTTGAAGTTTTCAGGCAGCGCATGTTCATGTGTTTTGGGGGTGTGGCTTTGAGGAGAGGGCCGAAGAAAGGGGGTGGGAATAATCGGTTACATAATTCTTGCTAGCTTTTCCACGATTACCAACCCTTGCTTTAAGTTAAAGTATGCAAGTATATCAGCTTGATGGACTTGTCTTATAGATTTATTGAACGTAAAAGGTTAAAGTAACAGGTAACTAAAGTTCTTTAAAAAATGTAGGGGTGTAAAAAGGTGAATATTTCCCTCTGAAATTGAGGAGAGTACAATTTGTTGCATTAAATGGAAATACTCAATAAGGGGCCAGGTACCTAA